CTTCAGCTTCCTGGCTTCTTCCCTCTCCCTGGTCTTCCTCCTCCACTGCCCTCCCTCTATCCTGACCTCAGGCCTATGGCCTCTTTGGCCTCTTCACTTCCCAACATCTCCTTGGTGATCTCATCCAGTCCCCAATAGTAAAGCCCAGTCTTGGCATCTCTGTTGTGCTCTAGATGAAGCATCCAACCGCCTCGGGACACCTCACATTTAAGGCACACGAAGTAGAACTCCTGAAGCCTAGTGTAGTGGTACACACCTGTAATTCCAGCACTTGGGAGGCAGAGTTGGGAGAATTGAGAGTTCCAGGCCAGTCTAGCTGACATAGGGAAACCGGTCTTAAAAAAACAAGCAAACACGGTGATGCATGCCTGTAACCCCAGCTATTCAGGGGACAGAGAACAAGAGGATCTCAGTTCAAGGTCAGTCCAGTGAAAAGTTTGAGAGATCTCGTCTCAACCAACAAGCTGAGCACCATCTCCACAGGTGAAGAGGCTTAGGACGGGAGGCTGGGGAAGGGCAAACTCTTGGATTGGTCAAGTACAACCAGGGAAGTTGTATACCACATCACAGACCCTCCCTCCATGGCTGAGGGGCTTGGTCTGTCCTGGTATGGCAACCTGGAGCCATTGGGCACTCTTGAGTGGAAACTGTGCAGAGGATGGAGTGGAGAAGTCCTCTGGTGTTGTACTGAAGCAGCAAGGGCAACTGGAAGAAAAGACAGACAGTTAGAATGGCCAACAGGACTTGCCAGCTGGATGCTGTGGGACAGGAGACAGAGAGAATCGGTGCCAGTTTTAACTGGCAGGACGTTATCTGTGGATGGTGTGTCTACCCTTTGCTAAGAACTCCCAAAATGGGTCCTTGGTGCTGGGACTGTAGCAGTAGCCAGCTCTGTACCACATGATCAGAGCTGATAGGATCACATATGGGCACCTCACCCAGGATAGCTAGTGGTCTCAGATAAGAGCTTTTGATCACCTACAGACCTTGAGAAGGGTGGGACCAAGCACCATCTTCCTGGTGAACACACAGAGCTGGTTGCCCGAGGGGGGGAGGAAAGGGAAGGCAGGGACTCCAGACTGTGGTGGGGTGGTGCGGCCCCCGCTGAGGGTGCAGACTTCGCTCTCAGTTCCCCCACTCCTTGGTAGCTGCTTGGTCTCCCCTTTCCAGCAAGGCTGGATTGTGTGTTTTTTCCTGACTACAGAGATGTGACTTGTACTTCCAAACATATTCCCCTCACGTTGGGGGTGAAATGGACATTTGCTCCTGACCCCCAAGACCTCTGACTCAGTGTCTCCAGTCCCAAGGGCCTGCCAGAGTTCCAATTCTTACCCTGTTGTGACAAATTCTTTTACCAAAGAATTTGAACACTTATGTGACCTGAGTGGGGAGGGGAACTTTCTTGAGGTTAAAAAGAAAAACAAAAACAAAAATGAGCATTTTGCTGGGCCCTCATGGCTAATGCCTGTAATCCTAGCTAACTGGGAGGCTGAGATTGGGAGGCTCAGTTTGAGGCCATCTTGGACAGATCATGAGACCCCCATCTCCAAAATAACCAGAGCAAAATAGATCGGAGGTGTGGCTCAGAGGTAGAGTCCCTGCTTTGTAATCATGAAGCCCTGAGTTCGAATCCCAGTTCTACCAAAATAAATAAATAGTTTTTCAAGCAGAGTATGTCAACCAAGATAGGGCCAAGAATACATTCTGAGACCCAAAATTTAAGGAGAAATATTTAAAAATTTAAAATTTTTATTTATAATTTGTATTTTAAATTTAAGGAGAAAAATTTAAGAAAAATATTTACAGCTGGACGCTGGTGGCTCATGCCTGTAATCCTAGCTACTCAGGAGGCAGAGATCAGGAGGATTGCAGTATGAAGCCAGCCTGGGAAAATAGTTCTGCAAGATCCTATCTCGAAAAACCCTTCACAAAAATAGGGCTGGTGGAATGGCTCAAGATGTAGGCCCTGAGTTCAAACCCCAGTACCACAAAAAAAGAAAAAGTCCATGAAATATTTTAACAAATTAATATTAAAACAAAAACATTCATGAGGAAGAAAAACTCAGAATCTTGGCTCTGGTATTTTTGAGACAGGGTCTCTCTGTGTTGCCCAGGTTGGTCCTGACTTTAAACAATCCTTCTGCCTCAGGCTCTCCAGTGCAGGGACTACAGGAGTGCATCACCACCCGTGACAGCTAGGTCTTAAAAAATTAAGAACATTTTAATTAACTTTTTCCACTTGGTTCTAACTGGGGGAGGATATGTTCATAGCCGTGTTCAGGGGTGTACATTCTTTCTTTTGGTCTCAGGCTCAAGGTAAGGCTGGTTGTGTGTACTTTGAAGTGCTTTCCTGGGGGAGGTTCCCTCTGCTGCCAGCAGGGGTCGCTGTGGTGCCGTGCCACCGAGCGCTCTGTCTGGAAGGCGCAGCAGCCTCTTTGCACCCCCTATTCCTGACACCCCATGGCTCACAGCCGGAGCTCACCAGGGGGAGCTGACCCAGTTGTTCTGCTCTTTGTTAGGAAGGCAGGCACTGAGTGCAGAGCACAGAATGAAACCCCAGAATAAAACTGCCCTGGCTCCATGCAGCAGCCCTAGCCTAGGTCTGGGGTGACCACTAATGTCCTATCTGGGGGAAGGGAAGGGAGAGTCTTTCTCAGAGGCCACATTGCAGATGGTTCCAGTTTCCACGTTTCAGAAACTCTTTCCCCATTCCTAAGTCAACTGGAATGAAATGGGAGGTCATTTTTCCCGGGCACTATCCCCCACGAACGACCTCAGATATCCCTTCCCCTCTCTTGATGGTCTGGCCACCAACTTGCTCTGGCCCGGTGTGAGCCTCCAGGGGCCATGAATGAAGCCTGGAGTCTTCAGGCTGCTTCTACCTGGTTTTCCTTGCCTTTGGCCTCCTGATGTAGGCACCCTGGTTCCTCCACCTCCCTTCTGGTCCCAACTCTTTCAGAATTCCTGTCTCGGGCTCAGTCCATCCTCCCTCCTTTCCATTCTCAGTTTCCCAATGGCCTGAACCTCCAGCCCACGTCAAGTACTGTGGAAAAGTCCTTCTCCTTCTGGTCCCTGCCTTGCAGGCCAGGCTTTATGACGGCTCCTATTTTAAATTAGAGGTGACCAGAGTTCAGAAAGGTTGCGTGTCACACAGCACTGAGATGGAGTCTGAGCCTGGAGCCCTCCCAGCACCCTGCACCCTTTTCAGTTCACAGTTCACTCTTGGCCCGTGTACTTGTCTCGCTTTCTAAGAGTGTATTTGTTTAGTTTTTGGACTTCTATCGAGTAATCCGCCGTGCCAGGCCCAGGAGATGAAAGTGCGGCCTGTGTTGAAGTTTATGGTCTGGGAGACAAGATTTTTCCTGAGTGGCAGCTGAGTCCTTCCAGGCAGCTCCAACCCCTCCCAAGGGGCAGAGGCTGTTTCCTGCTTCTCCTGCAGCACCCCCTCCCTCCCTGCGGGGTGGTGACCTCCTGGTCCTTCCTGGGGATTTGATGCTGCTGACTCCATGGAGTGGGGACAGGGCAGACCAGACCTGGCAGGGATTGGAAGAGGGTCTGGTTGCTGAGAGCTCAGAGAAGGTATGGAGGTTTTCAAGCTGTTCTCAGCAGGCTTTGTTTCTCGAACACCCAGCCCTGATCCACCACACATCACTGGAGCAGCAGGACCCTGCTCTCAGTTTCTCCTGGTGGAATGTCCAGTGTTCTGGTTCATAAGGTCAAGGAGGCTCAATCCTAATCCTTGACTCCATTGCTAGAATGCTTAAACAAGGCCCTTCTGCGTGGCTATCTCTCCCTTGATTCCTCCTTCTTATCCTATCCTTGCCAGGAGGAAATTTCCAGAACAAAATTTTAAAAGCCTCCTGACTTTTTAATAAGCACAGACATCCCCTACACCTCTGGCTCTCACAAATCCCCAGCTTCTAGTTTCCAGCCCCGGGTTCCTGTTTAACAAGTGAGGGGCCCCAGAAGCAATCTTCAGTCCCAATTTACTTTGTTTTTTGTTTTTTTTCCCTCTGCAGTGCTTGGAATCAAACCCAGGGCCTGTGCATGTTAGGCAAATGTACTATCACTGAGTTACATCCCCAGCCCTCAATCCCAATTTAGAGGGGTCCTGATCAGCCAAGGCTAAGACACAGGTGAAAGGGTGCTGTTGGTAGGGGGAACGGGGGACTTGCAAGTAGAATGTCTGAACTAAAACTGAGGAGGGGGATAGAGGCGAAAGCAGGTGACAAGAAAGACAAATGCAGGAAGAATGGCATGTTTAATGACACAGCTGGGTCTGGTTACAAACATTAAAACTACAAAAGGAGGACAAGCAGTTACGGGATGGCTGCACGAGGATGGGACAGGAGGGGACACAGGCACAGTAGCCACTGTAGCAACACATCCTTCAGGATGATACACGTGACCAAGGGGCACACACGGGGGTCCCCAGAGAGGCTGATGGGTGGGGAGGACCGACTGGCAGCCTGGAGGAGGGCAGAGAGGGAGAAGCCCTCAACTCAGAACCAAGGGGAGAGCCAGAGACTTTACAATCCTGAGGCCTCCTGGTTCCAATGGTGACAGTGCAGATGAGGCCCCTCCCCTAGTGGTCATCCTGTCGGGATTTTCTGTACCCCTCCATCTGCCCTTTTCCTTGCCCATTGTAGAGCAAATTAGTGAGCCAAATCCTCTTCTGGGGAGGGTGGGGGAGCCTAGAGGTGGAAAGCAGGAACGTTGGGAGCTGGTCAGAGTGGGCTGGACTTTGCCTGTAGGCTAGGTCACCCCAACCTTATTCATCTTGCCAATCCTCTGTACTGCCATGGGACTTCCTCCTGTGCCAAATCACACTACTGTCTGCCCAGAAGTGGGACCAGGGCCCCTTCCTGCCCCACACAGAGGGAGGCAGGCCCAAGGCTTCCAGGTCCGCAAGTACACGATAGGTATGTACGTATATATATATGCATATATATATTTATATAGAGATTGTATATAGAATATATCTGTATATATGGTAGACATGTGCATGATACCGTAGATGGTGAGGAGGCCTGTATGTGGGGCGGCAGAGCAAAACGGGGCTGGGTCCTTCCTGGAGTGACTCACATTTGTCCCTGCTTCCCGCCAGCCGCTCAGCTAGGTCCCTCTCTAACAGTGAGTAGAAAAGCTAAGAAGAGAGGGTCCCTCTGCCAGGTGGAGGGGTCCCTGCCCGCCCCACTGCACTGGGTCAGCATCCGGGCAGCCAGTGCTGCCTCCTGGCAGCTCAGAGGACTGTGGCCGTGGCTGAGGCCTCCTTCTGGGAAGACGAGTCGGGGTTCCTCCAGCTTCCTTGGCACCCAGAAATGGAGGGTCAAGGAGGGTCTTCAGAACTCGGCCTTCTGCTCAAGGTGCTGCCAGGGAGGGGGGAGCTGGGCAGGATCCTATGGCCCTGAAGAGGGCAGCGTGGTGGGTGGGCTGTGGACGAGACAGGAGATGGTGGAAACAAGTTACAAAGGTCCAAAAAGGAGACCAAGACACCTGGGGTGCAGGGAGAGGGATCTGGGGCTGGTGAGGCAGGCACTGTCTGCTGGGTGAGACCCAGTATGGTGCAGTTGAAAGCCACTGTTAGACCCCAATTCTAGTTCCCCTTTCTTTTCCAGAACTATGTGACCTTAGGCAAGTCTGGTGGCTTATGAGCATATCAGATTGTTTCCTCTAAAATGTGGATCATATCTGCCTTGCTTGCCTGTGTGAGCATCGAGCAACATAAACTGTGTAAAAAAAAAAGTGTTCCACAAACTGCAAAACACTGTACACATGTGAGCTCTTTTCCTATTCCTTCTGCAACGCAGTGCAACCTGTTTGGCTGGTCTCACCCTCCCTTGGCCACCCATGTGGAGCTCTGTGCATGAGCCCCTTTGAACTTGCTGACCGCCTGGCCCCCTATCCCACCGCCCCTCCACCCACATAGAGGCGCACACACCCTGAAGCAGAGACGGTTCAATAAACAGTGGCGTCTGGCTCACACTGCATCCCTGATAAGAGAAGTCGGCTCTAACTCCATTCCGCTCTGTGAGCCCAGATGGACCCTGGCAGTAGGCTTGGTCTGAAGGACTTGCCTTTTGGGAGTCCTACACCCATGACCCAGGAGACTAGGGATGGGAGTGAGCTGTAAAGGGACAAGGGGACAATCCCAAGACTGGGAGAACCCAGATGGAGGCAGCTGGGCCTTGGCCCATCCCTATCTCTATTCTGTCCACAAGGAGTGGAAAGGGGCAGATGACGCTGTGGTGGTTTCCTGACGTTTGGGGTTTGGCGAGATCGGAAGTCCCTGGGGTCCAGCTGGGGCAGGAGAAGGGGGGGCGCTGGCCATGTGTTTCTCATTCATTGGGGCTCATCCAGCAATCCCTGCAGTCCCTCTAGGCTCCTGTAAAAAAAGCCCTTTTCTCGAAAAGCAGGAAGTCTTGTCTCCTGGCTGTAAACAAACTCATCTCAGCAGTGGCAGTGGAGCCTGCCTGGGGAGGGGGTGGGAGGGAGGGTATCCCTCCCCCACCTTCCCCCCCACCAGCTCTTTCCTGACCCCTCCAAGTGGGTGACAGCTGCAGGTGTAACTCCGCTCTCCCAGTGCCCTCCTCTGGCAGGTAAAAATCTCCTGCTTGCTTCCCATCCACTCCAGAGTCTGGGGCAGGCCAGGGCCCAGCTGTGCACATCTGGAGTTGGCCTGGCTGCAGCCAGCTATTCCTGGGAACTTTGCTCTCCTGGGGAAGGGAGGAAGGGGGAAGTAGCTCAGCCAGTTGGTCAGTTGCAGGAAGGGCAAGCAGGCCTGGTCTCCCCAGTGCCGTTGGGGACGTCCGTCAGCACTGTGCCAGCAGGCACGGGGAGGGGGGGGTGGGCGGGCCTCAACGAGCCCGGGAGGAGATGCTGCCTTTTCCACGGGAATCTGCTGGGAATGTTGCCCTACAACGCGTGTCCCCCAGCCGCTGGCTGACCTCTGGTTCCCATTCCCGCCTCTGCTCCTCAGTTCTCCTTCCTACTCCAGCACTGCCTCCGCCCTTCCATCCAGCTCCCAGAGACAGCTGCCCCTTGGGGGCTCGGTGGGGGCTGGAGTGTTCCCAGCCATCATGTCTGAGGGCTAGCCCTCCCCTCAGGCACCCAGTCAGCAGAGTCACCGAGGCTGGCCATCCTCCTGGAGTCCAGAACTGGGAGCTGGCCTCCTGGGTCAGGATGGAAGTAAACACCACCCCTCACCCCGGTAGTGTGTATGTGAGTGACACCCATGTAGGTCCCGCGTGGGCCTGGCATGTGTGCATATGTACACATCCTCGTGATCCTCCTGGCTCCAGCCCTGTTGAGGCAGAGGGCGGACGGGAACATTGGTCAGCACTGGATGAAAAACAAGCCCATGGGACTGGTACCCAGGGAGGAAGTGGACAGAGATAGCCTGGGCAAGCATCCCTTGCTCTAGGGAAGGGGAAGCACTGCTGGGGGAGAGAATTTACTCAGTAGCTTACAGCTCTGTGCAGTTATGAGCTGGGGCTGGGACCAGAGGGCCTGAAGTCAGAGGGGAGCAGTCTTGTGCCTGCTCTTAAATGTGGCAGCCTCTTGCTGGCCTTAAGTGTTCCTGTCTCCTAGTTGGCGTGGTTGGCCCTGGGTCCCAGGAGAGATAGCAGGCCTAGGGGACAGGAGAGGACATGGCAGGGAGGTTGCCCAGCCCACCCTCACCCCCTCCTCACGTGGTGGTGTTGGGGACCTGCTGTACCCAGCCCACTTCCTTGTAGGCAGCGGTCACGTGGCTGTAGATGAGGCTACGCAGCTTGGCCCAGGCTCTCTGCGTCTCAGGTGGGAAGTCATTGGCAAACTCCTCGGCAATCACCTCCAGAATGACCCCAGAGAGGATCTGGAGGCAAAGGGAGGAAGGAGGAGTGAACACTTGCTTGCCCTGCCCTGCCTCCAGCAACCCCCAGGACCCCCTGCTGTCATTCTCACAACCCAACTGTCTGGTGGCTATGGGAGCCAGACACTTCTAAGACAAGAGCTGCCCTGGACACAGCCCTCCAACCTGCTGTGGAGTGCTACCCTCCCTGTCATCACCACCACTCTGGGGGACGATGCTGGCAGCCCAGGGGTCACTTCTCCTATCCAGGGAGCCCTCCCAGAGCCCATGGGCTGGGGGGCCTGTGGCACAGGGGGCCCGGGGACTCCTGTTGTGGGGGCAGCAGCACTGTCCAGCCACGTACCTTGAAGTACACAGGTTCCACTTTGTGCTTGAGGGCATGGGCTTTGCCCACGAGGGCCAGCACAGAGGACACCTTGTCGGGGTCGTGCAGGTTCTCCACAACAGTGTTGAGAGCCCCCATGACCCGGCAGGCATGCTTCCGCAGCTGGGGGCTCCGTTCCATTTCCAGGGGGTCCTCCATGTGTTTGAACTGGCTGAAGTACTGCTTGGCCGAGGGGAAGTTCACAAAAAACCTAGCAGGAGGCATGGGGTGGGCGCTGAAGCACACAGCCACTCCGGGCCCCCCTGAAAGGGCAGGATGGGGGCACGGGGCACTGGAGAAGCAGGAGCCACCCCTCACCCCAGTAATTGTTTTCACTACCATATGTAGTTGTCCTTCACTTCTGACCCTCTCTCTGCCAGGCCCACCCTCTGGACTTGCTCAGGCTGGTGACTTCCTCTCCCAGCCTTGGAGGCCCTCACAGCTAAGCGGGTAAGAGCTTGGGTTTTAGAACCACGGCTCATTTATTCAACTTTTGATTTTCTTAGAGATGGGGTCTTGCTGTATTGCCCCAGGCTGGCTGGGAACTCCTTGGGCTCAGTGATCCTCCTGCCTCAGACTTCTGAGTAGTTGGGATTACAGATGTGCACCAGCTTAAATGCAGTCTTTCTTATAATAAAAGTTAGAGTTCTCATTCTGAACAAAGTAAGGCAGAGGTTGATCTCCTTAAGGTCACTCAGCCAGTGATAAGAAAAAATGAGGCTTAGTCCTCTTCCTCCTAGCTCAGACTCCTCCCCCCTTGCTACCCTGCAGTAAATATTGACTGGCTGACTTAATTAAAACGGCAATTGATTTTACCTGCTTGGTGTGGTTCTATAATTACTTCATGTCTGTAAGTCTCACCTCCTCCATGAAGCCTGTCACCTTTGCAGCAGACCTTTGGCCTTCCTAGCTCTAGCCCTTCCCCTCTCCTGTTGATCTGAAATTGTCTAATTGCCCCTAAATACTGCTTATTAGGTCACTCTCATGCTCAAAAACATTCATTGGTTCCCTATTTATTGGTCAAAACTCCTAAGCTGGAGACTCCAGGCTTCTTCTTCTGTCCTATTTCTCCAATACCATGTCCACATCGTCCCCTATCCTCGAGTCATCTCTGGCGCAGCCCAACAGCCTGCCCTTACCACTGGCCAGCCTTCTTTTCCCCTCAATGGAATGCCTCCCTGACTCATTTGCCATGGCAGATCTGCCCCTCCCTGGCCACCCAGGCTGACTGGGGCCACTGTTGTTTTCTTGAGGCCATTGGTACTGTCCAGGTGGCTTTCTCTGTCACCCTTTCAGTCTGTTGGACTAGATCCCAAACCCACAAGCAGAGGCTGGGACTCACCCTTTGACCCATGGTCCTGAGGTGTGCAGAGGGACGAGGACATTTGTAGCTCCTCTCCCCTGAGGTCTAGGTGTCACAGAAGAACTTCCATGACTTAATGGAGTGTCTTGGCCCTGTCTCTTCAGGTGTTCTCGCCCCTCTGTTGTCCCCCTTCGTGACGGGAAAGAGCTAGCAGCCTTAGAGCCAGCCCTTTGGCCAGGCCATGAGTCTTGGATGTGAGAGCAAGACAGGTGCAAAGCATGCATCTGGCCAGGGGAGTTTCTGCTAGTGACCAGGGCACAGCCTATGTGCAGACCCAGAGGCCCCTCCCAGAGGCTGGCTGTGACTTTAAGCAAACCATTCGATGGCCTTCCTGTGTGCAGAAGTACAAGGGAGTCCTCTGTCAGGTTCCTTAATAGATGGGTGGGTGAAGTCAGAGGAGGCAATGGGTCTGGAAACGCACTGGCTTCTTCTGGAGAAGCATTATAATGACTGACAAATGTGAGTATCCCACATTGGACTTAAATAAGCATCTCAGACCTTGGGGTTTTATAACTGCAATAACATGTTTTTGTTTTGGCCTGGTGTGTTAGAATTTGCAAGGCAACTCTGCCTCTCTGATTGCATTTATTTGCCACAACTAAGCAGTATTCTTAGGTCCACTTTACTCCTAAGGACATTACAGGGACATCTGCTGTACGAACTCCTGAGCTTGGCACTGCTTTGAGCCCCTCTATGGACTAGGGACTGATACCCAAGGTGGCTGCACCAGGAGGGAGCCAGGTTTGGATAGCTCCCCCAGAGTTCCTGGAAAGACTGCTGTGCAGGGGGATGGGTCTGAGACAAGGGTGAGTCTCCTGCCTCAACACCCAGCACCATGTTGTGATCCTAAGGAATGACAGTCCTGGGGAGTCCTGGCCTAGAGCCCTGCTTCTGGGCCAAAACAGTGTATGTGTGTTGGGGGTGGGGGGCTCTGCTCTGCTCTGTCATCTGGCTTTCCTCTCCAGCCCCACTTCCTTCCGACCCTCCCAGACTGGCCAACGCTGCCAGGGAGAAGCCTCAGCAGCCAGCCTTGGGGAAGTTTCTCAGCTCTCAGAGGCATCTGGGCTTCCAAGAGCCTGAAATAGGCTTGTCTGAGTATGAGGGGGAAGGTGTCAGCGTTACAACCAGGAGGGAGGGTGGGAGTCCCTCTCAGTCTCCTTCCTGGCAGGGAGTGGAAGTGTGAGGTCTGCTTCAGACCCTACCCTATGGCAGCTCCTTCTCCTCAACCACCATCTGGCCTGCTAACTTCTCATGGTGGGGTATGAGGTGCCCAGCAGGCTGAAAAGGGCGGTGGAGGGAGTTGAAGAAGGTGGTGGTCAGAGGGCCAGTCTCAGGTAAACATGCAGGCTGAGGTGTGATCATTTTCATGAGCACAAGATCAGGAAGAGGGGCCCTGGGAGGCCATGAGACGCTAATGGGTCTTGTCCCTATTCCTTTTCCACCTCTTTCCTTTAGTCAGTGTCAGAGCAGACAACAGGAGGAAGACAAGGAGGGGATGGTAGGTGTCATTTGGAGCTCCCAGGAAGTGGCTGAGATGGTGGTGGCCCAGGTTGTTGGGGTGGGCTCCAGGCAACACAGGGATAGGATCAGGGAAGCATGACCAGATGTGTGATGGTCACTCAGGTCTTCTTAGATTAATTGTGGGTCCTTGGGCTGACCTCTGAGTATATTAGTAAATACCTCTCCCAGATGAGTCCAGTACCCTCAGTGTCAAGAATGGGTAACCAGAAGGGGGATGGAGAGATAAAGAAAAGTATGAGAGAGCTAAGAGATCCAGAAACAGCCCTGCCCTTGGGGCTCCATCCCTTTCTCTGACTTCCCCTCCACCTTACTTACTAGTAAATGGCAACGGTCTGTGCAGAAAATCTCCAAGATTCTGTGGGCCCTGCCTCATTTTCTCTTAGCGACCCATGTGTGCACCCAGGCCCAGAGGGCTGTGTGTGGCATGTGTGTTGGCACATGGCTGAGAGTAGCCCTCTGGGATGCAGTCTGACACCTCTGCAGCTCAGCTCCCCACTGTGTGCTTGTGTGGGTGCTCAGACACTTCTGAGTGTCTGAGACTTCAGGACTGCAATCTCCTCTTAGCTTCCGGCCACCCTGGAGGGGTGGCTGGACCTGGGAGCTCTGAGAAGGCAGTGGCTCCCTGAGGAAGCCTCCTGGAATTCCTCCCAAGTGCTTCTCACTCTTTGCCTCCCAAATCTATTTCTGAGTTGGAACGAGGGCACATCAGCATGGAGCTGGGTATGTCCCAGGCTTGGGGGAGGTAGAAGGGAGAGAGAGACAAGGGGAGAAAGGGAGCCAGAGACCCGGCCAGGATTGGGAGACAGATATGCACGAAAGATGTCTTTCCACAGCAAGGTTTCACCCCATCCTCACATTGCAAGGCTGCCCTGCTCTGCCCCAGATTTGACAGCTGCCCTCTGCCGAGGACAGGGATGAGGTCTGTGTGGCCTGGGCCTCTCCGCCTAGCTATGGGTCCTACACACGTGGGAACAGTCTAGATTTGATTTGTAGTTACAGTCAGTTTCCAGCCTTTGGGACTTGAAGACATCAACTCTATAGGAGTGGCATGTAGGCACAGTAGTCCCACAGGTGTGGGACTACTGTATCACCTGGGTGAGGTCCCCGAGGCAATGGTGCTAGAGTGAAGAGTGACCCCTGAGCCACAGATGCAGCATTTCCTCCTAGCCCGGGGAGGTGGGGGGTGGGTCCAGGCCCTTCTCTGTTTCCTTGAAGCTTCTCGGCTCCCTCACCACATCCAGCAGGAACTGTAGCCCAGGGGACTATTTGCATCTCTACTCACCTGTGCCTCACCTGGTGCTCCCTGCTGGCCCTCCCCCTTGGGGCAGGAAGCCCGGAGAGCTGGACCTCAACGTCTGCTCCTGACCTTTACTCTTCGGATCTTTGCTCTGCTCTTTCAACTGGCTAGCTGGACTGGTGTGGGTGTGGGGGGGGGGCTGGGGGGGTCTGCTCCTCTTTGAACCGGGTCTTGACTGAGCCTCAGTTTTCCCTGTCTCTAAAATGGGGAGTCCCTACTACCCCCTTTGAGGGACTGGTGAAAATGTGTGTGAATGCAGCTTGGTGGCTGGGGTCGCTGGGGAGGAAGACCGGTTGAGCGAGGAGTTCTGAGGCCAGTGAGGGGAGGGAGTCGAGGTGCCTTCCTATGTCTGGTTCCTAGTTCCCTGGTGAGCCCCACGCCCCAAGCCAGGAAAGGTTCAGCCAGGCTTCTACCACCCCAAGGCGCCCCACGCTGCCCGCGCCCCCGCCGCCCCTATCCGGCCCCAATCGCAGCTGGGGAGGAGGCGATGGAGCCCGGACCCGGGCCGAGCCCGCCTCTGCCGGGAGCCGCTGCCGCTCTCCCTGCCCTGGGCCCGGCCGGCCTGGGGCGACACCTACCTCACCAGGATGGCCACCCCCACGTCCTCGCAGTTGGCATACAGCCGGGCCCACGTAGCCTGCACCGCCTTCCTCTCCGCCTCGGACAGCTCCTCGCTCCGCTCCCTGCGCTCAATCTCCATCTCGCCCGGCACTTTCTCCATGAGCAGCTGCAAGCCCAGCCCGGCTTCGCTCAGCGGCGGCGGGGCGCGGGGCGCGGGGCGCGGGGAGCCGGGGCCGACTGCGTGCGCCGCGGGCGGGCGAGGGGTAGAGCGCCGGAGGGAGGGAGCGAGTGTCTGTGCGCTGGGTGTGCGTGTGTGTGTGTGTGTGTGTGTGTGTGTGTGTGTGTAGGGTATATTGCGGGGGGCGGGGGACCGCGAGCGGGGGGCGGGGATGTGGTCTGCTGGAAAAATGTTAAAGAAAATCAATCCGCTCCAAACCCCTGGTCCTGTGTCGGTGAGCCAATGCTGGCAAGGTGAAGGCTGGGCGGGGTGGGGGCGACGCGGCTGGCGCCTGCCCGCCCACCCACCCGCAAGGCCGTGGCGGTCCCGCCGGGCGGGGCGAGGGGTAGGTAGGTGTGGCCGATGTGCCGAGGGGTCTACAGGAGGATCCGGCGGTCACGCGGCACTGGGCGGCGCGGGCCACACAGGAGTGCGCCCCGGCGGGTGCGGGACTCGGGCTCCGGGTCCCGGCTCCGCTGCGCACGGTGTGGGACGCGGCGGGGAACTGACTCAAAGTCAAGCACTCCCAAGGCGTTTGGCGTCCGCCAGCCGCCCGAGGAGGCGAACGCGAGACCCACCGCTGGCCGAGCTGGGCTCCGTTCGCTCCAGCCCTCCTCAGCCTCTGGACCCAAGCGCTACTCCCACAGCTCCGGCCCTCCAGACTCTGGAAGGTTCAGGACTTGGGGTCGTCTCCCTGCCCACCTGCCACTCCGGCTGTCGGAACTTCAGCACACCTCCAGCCTCAAGCGCCAGAGGTCGGGGCCACCCCTATCCCCCTTTCTTGCTGACGAACACCCGCTCTCCCTCCGTGCTTGCAGGCAGCAGAAAGAAATTCTGGGTGTCCAGTTAATGTCAGGCAGGCCAGAACCAGGCGCTGCCCTGAATTTCGGCCCTGGTGGTGACAGAGTAAAGTCTGAATGGGGTATGGCAGAGTGGGCCTGGGGGCCCAGAAGTTTTAAGACAGGCACAGGACAATGGAGACATTTCGGTCGCTATCAAGGCCCCAATCTGGAGACAGGAAGACACATCGTTCCTCCGCCAGCTGTTTAGGGAGGTTTTTATTGGGCCAGCGGTGGGGACCGTGCCCCTTGAGAGACCCGGAGTCCCCAACCTGAAGGAACTGCTCAGTCTTGGGGATGGCCAGGTCTCACCTCTGACTACTGATGCCTGGTGGAGTGGCTCAGGTGGTAAGAACACCTGTCTAGCAAGCCTGAGGCCCTGTGACCCCCGGTGGAAGCTGGAGTCCATAAATGACCTTCAGTGCTTGATACAGATGTCACAGTACATGTGGAATGTCTCTAGTTTTCCATAAACCTCCCTTGAGAGTTTGCTCACAGCTGGAGTCCCACTGTCCAAGCATTGCCAGGGGGTAGCTCTCCTCTTCAACTTTGGTTCCTGTCTGTTTAAAACCCAATTTCAAGGTTGAGAACCAAGGGAAGCAGTGAGAACTTGTACAGGCCCAGGCCCAGGCTCACCTGGGGCTCTCCCTAGAGCTCAGGGTTCCAGTGCTTGATGGACCCCTAGGCAGGAGGACTGGGACCACTGACTCCTACCTCAATTAAGGAAGGAAAAGGGAATGCCTTCTGCTGGTTTTGGAGGGGGTGGAGGAGAGTGGGGGTTCAGGTTCTTACATCACTCTCAGACCACATTCTAGCCCGCCGTCAGTGGCCCCTGTTCTGCACACACCAAACACCCTTGACAGTTTCCCAAAGCACCAGGTGCCCCAGAGGTCCACGGGAATGCAAAGAGAAAGCAGGAGAAATCTTTTTTTTCCTTTTTTTTGCAGTACTGGAGCTTGAACTCAGGGCCTACACCTTGAGTCACTCACTCCACCAGTCCTTTTTTTGTGATGGAGTTTTTCGAGATAGGGTCTCAAGAACTATTTGCCCAGGCTGGCTTCGAACCGAGATCCTCCTGATCTCTGCCTCCGGAGTAGTTAGAATTACAGGCGTGAGCCACAAACCCGGCTGAGAAATCTTCTTTCTATTGATTTTCATCTCATCTTTCACAAAATTTATGTGTTATCATGTAGGAATGTGTTTGTGCAGTAGTTTAGTATATGATTTTTAAGTTTATAATTTATATCTAAATTATACAATATAGTTATATAAGCTATATTTTATAATTCATATCTATTTTGTGAGTGCATACTTAAATTCTGTCTTTTACTGAAGAAAAGTCTGGAAAGGGTTGTTCAGAGTGTGGAACTGAGCCACCTTTCACTCTCTGGTTTTTGTGGCTTCATCAACAACTTTCTTCCCTTTTCCTGATGTAACATCTTTGCTCCACTGCCTCTCAGTTTCAGTTGCTGGAAGATGCTGCATGCTTTCATGTCAGCAGCCCTGGCAGTCTGCTGAGGGTCTGTCCTTCCTTAAGTACCTACAGGTTCAGAAGCCCCAGGCTCCTCTTTGAAGCTTCTCTGCTGCTCATTATTCCTTGAGTGCTCTGCACACAAGTCACTGTATGGTTGTCATTCGCTCAACTTGATGGCAGTCTAGACTAACCAGTGCCTTCAGGACAAGGCCCAGGTACTGTTAACTCTCTGTTCAATAGATAGGTGCCTCGAAGGAGCTTCACTTACCCCACCACTGGAGGGGAGATCTTGGGGCCAAGGAGATTAATCAGTCTTCACAAGGTCAGGGATGCTGACCCCACTAATCAGCTTGAGCCTCCTAATCCATCCTTGTAGGAGCCCCAGGAAGGTTGGCAGTGGTTTATGAGGAGCTGGCTGGGCCCATTCTGGCCCCTCACCTGTGGCCTGCAGACTGGGCCTGGAGGGGATGGGGCAGCTGAGCCATGTGCACCACCCTCTTCCTGCTGAGCACCTTGGTCATGCTTTGGCGCCGCCGATTTGCCAACCGGGTCCAACCGTGAGAAACTGACTAGGCTATGGGTTGGGGAGTGGGGAGAATACCAGGCTGGGATTCAGCTGAGGTGAAGATGAATAGAGCTGCCTGAACCCCCAGCCTAGCCAGTCTGGGAGGGGATTTGAAGAAAGCCCTGAGGGGTCACTTTTAGGGCAGGAGATGCCAGCTTGCAGCCTCCAGCTCCACAGTCCCTTGTGGCTAGGACGTGGGGAGGGGCTGGGTACTGCCCACAGCTCATCCCACCTGCTCTTTCCTCTTACAGAGAGCCCTGCAGAGTGGATGGGGCAGTTATGGGCAGCAGCTCGGACACAGACCAGTCCTCGGCCAGGTGAAGTAGAAGAGAGTCGGGCAGGAGAGGGAGGGTACTATGAAGGAAGCTGTTACTGTGTATAGCAGGCTGTGTGTGTGTGTGTGTGTGTGTGCCCTTCCCCTAGTTACCCTGTTCCATGTATGGTAGGCAGACTGGATGTCTGTTTTCACCAGGTGGGAGTGGGAGTGGGAGCCCCTAGCCCTTTCCTCTGGCCTAAAGCCCTGCTGCCTTGCTTCTCTGAGAGTGGATGTGGGGTGGTCGCAGGAAGACCTTCTGCCATAAGGCACAGAGGAGTGGAGAGAGGAAGAAGGCAGAGGCAGCTCTGTGTTGCTTCCCTTGCCTGTCCTTGTCCTTCCCTCCCCCTCTGCCCCTCTGGCCCCTGCCTGCCTCAGCAGCTCCCTGGCCTGAACCTCCAGCAGGATTCGCTGTCCAGTCCCCAGTAGAAGTCAATAGAGCCGATAGAGCCAATAGAAGGCTCAGGAGGAGCATGACATCATCAGCATTGAGTGCCATTGGCTGGGCAGCCCTGCGGGCGGGTCGCTGTCTCCTGGGGCCAGAAAGTTAACTCTTCCCTCTGCTGAAGCCATGTGGCCTCTGGGGAGAAGTTGTGAGCATTGGCTTTGCAGTGTCCTTTGACCACAGAGGCGCTCATGCCCAACAAAACACTGAAAAAAGTCAACCAGTACCTATTAATGTATTTCTAAGACGTGCTTTACGTGCATATGGAGCCTGCTATGTGAGAGGCCTGTCTGGGGCTGAACTCAGGGCCCATGCTTATGAGGCAGGCAGTCTATCACTTGAGCCACTCTCTCAGTTCTAAGGAAACCAGGAACACATAAGGTCCTGTGCATCTTAGGGCTCTGGGGCGTACTTAAGGGGCTGGAACAGTTAGTATGCTTGCCCGTGACTTTCTGTGTCTGCAATGTGTCCCTTAGATATGCGGAAACTGGCCACAGAGAGAACTTGATTCTATCTCTATGTCTCCCATTGTCTCAGTCCTGGGATTCTCCCGGGTTTGGGTTGTCAGAAGGCCCAATAGGAAGAAGCCTTTGGCATGTATGGGAAATAGAGACATTTTTGTGACCCCTTTCCTGACTCAACTGTAGCTGAGATGTTTGTAGTGCCTGATTAATACTGCTAATTAAATGGACTGACATATATAAAATGACCATCACTGGGTCTCTACTGGAGGAAGCACTCACATGCCAGCTGGTCCTCACTATTGTTTGGACATGGAGTTGTTGAGTAGCCAGAATTTAAGCCCTGGTTCTCCTCTTACTAAGAGACTTTGGCCAAATTATGTAATCATTTTATTTCTTGTAGTTTGGGATTATTAACAGTGTGGCCATGAGGTTTTATGGAAGGCACAGAGCACCTGTGCCTTCTTCTCTTCTTTTATGCCTTGTGGGTGCTTTCCTCTTCCCCAGAGGTTTCTCAGATGGTAATTCTCTTAGAAGTCTCAATAACCTGAGGCTTGGCGAGGTGTGTGTTATTGCTTGTTAATGGCTAAAGAAACCTGGGAACAGGAGATTTGAATGTGGGTCTATCCAACTTACAGGCAGCCTGCCTCTTCTACATAAATAGGCTTAGCCCTCCTGGCAGGAGAAGAAAGGCCAAATTTGGGAACCATCTGGCCAGGTCCAGCCTGGTGTGGCTTAGCCAAAAGGAAACAGTTGCCTATTAACTCCTTGGGATCCAGTTACCTGGAAAAATTGGTCTGACAGAGGAACCAACTGCTGATGGAGCTGCCAGAGAAGGCTGGCTGGGATGGTAGAGGCATGAAATTTCTGCTTTCCAGTTCCACAGTCATGAGTTGAAGTTGTTCTTTAGGTGCTCCTGACCCTCAATACCGGGGTGATTGTCTAGGTATGGGGGTAGGAGGAAGACCAGAACCAGAAATATGGGAAGTTCATCCCCTTCCATCTTCTGACTCCAGTGCTTTCCTTTGTCCAGGGAGAAGGAACCTCTGAAGTAAGGCCTCACCTCCTCAGATAGGGCTCAGCTCCAGGGACTGGGATCTACTGGCCCAACCAGGTAGGGCAGGGCCAGGAGCCCTGGAGGGCAGAGGGAAGGGCTGGGGACAAGGAAGAAGAAACATGTAAGGCCCAGCCATGTGAGGGCACAGAAGGCAGTCTTCCGCTTTCGTGGTCACTGTTGGAGGCCGAGCATGAGGCTGGACTTGTTCATTCAGCTACCTTGAGCCTGCTTTGTTCCAAGTCACAGGACAAGAGTTGATTTGAAGAGAACAGGTGTGGTCCTGACCACATTTTTCAGGCTTGGGGATGAGGTGGCGATCATACTGGGGTCTGAAGGCAATCTGGAGACCTCTAAGGTGGTGCCTGGCTTTTGGACATGGGAGAAAGTGCTGATCTGTTTTGGCTTTCTGTTTCAGCTCAAGTCCTACTTCATCCCCTAGCCTAAGGAGGATGTTATGGGGGCAGAAGCAGCAGCAAGAGGGAGAATGGGAGAAGCAGCAGTGGAGAAGGTAGGTACCTTCTCGTCAGCCCCTGGACGGCCATGGCTGTGGGCCTTCTGAGCAAGGCCTAGCTGGGGCTGGTAGGAAGAACAGAGTGCTCTTGGACTCCTTCCCTCAGAGTTCCCTCTGCATTCCTCTGAGGGACTGTGGAGCCAGAGAAGGCACAGAGAGAGAGACTTTCCAGTGTCTATGGATTAACACTAGGGCAGCCCAGTAGCCCAGGCAAGAGGCAGGAGCAGGCAGGGATTGAAGACACTCCAGGATCAAGGTACAGCTGATAGCACAGGTTATGTGGGAAGGGCTTCCATTCATTCTGGAATTCAGTCCTCACCAGAACTCACTGAGACTGATAACACTACTATCCACACTTTGTAAATGAGAAAGCACACAGAGAGGCTAAGTGATTTGAAGTGGGGGATCCAAGGCTCATCTTGGGGCTATAGAACACAACCCAGCTTACAGTGGGTTGGGAAAGGTGGCTTCTGTTGGGCTGGCCACCTGTCTCTATTAGCTCAGGAGCTATTTTGTTAAACAAGATGTGATCTAGGGCCATGTTGGTGCCAGTTTGGTATGGTGGCACTTACTTTGTGGCATGTGCCTCTCCTCAGTCTTCAGAGTTTACCTTGTCATTGGTGGCTCTGCTGAAATTATCAATAAGAAAGGCCAAGCAGGGTGCCGGTGGCTCATGCCTGTAATCTTAGCTACTCAGGAGGCAGAGATCAGGAGGATGGTGGTTCAAAGCCAGCTCTGGGCAAATAGTTCTCGAGACCCTATCTCAAAAAATACCCAACACAAAACAGGGTTGGCGGAGTGGTTTAAGCGGTAAGAGTGCCTGTCTAACAAGGTAGTTCAAACCCCAGTACCACTGAAAACAAACAAACAAAACAACAGCAACAAAATCCCAAAACCCAAAAGACAAAACAAAACAAAACAACAAAAAAGAAAGCTCTGTGACTCGTCTGCCTGGAGCTGGATGGGAGCAACCATCAGCTTGTCCTCTGAATGTGCTCTGTGTTTGTGTGTTCGAGTGTGTTCCAAATGGGCAGTAGTGTGTGGGAAGGGAAAAGCATAACACTTGTTTTTGTCAGTGTGTTGACTGCTCAGTAACGTGGTGGCCTCCTTTGCCCCCAGCTGCTCTGCCATTTCTCTCTTTACAGTCCTGCCTGATCCTGAGCAGAGATAAAAGATTTCCGCTTCTGCTTCCAGATCCAGGCACAGACCCTGCAGGCAGCTGCTCCCAACTGTCTCACAGCCATTAATCTTCAAACCCCCCCAACACCCCCACACATGCGTCTCTCCTCTTCATCCAGCCCCCCACACCGGCCCAGCAGTGATGGCTAGCCAGGCAGTTCTCTAGACAGGAGCACCCAGTTGCAGCTCCACATGTGAAGAGAGGGAGGAAGAGCGAGAGCTGCAGCAGCTGAGAGAACCCACTCTGAGGCAGGGGAGGAGACTGCAGCCTGCTGGGGAGGGGCTGCTGGTACTGCAGGGAGCCTGGCTGGGATGTGTCATGCCGTGGGAGCCTCTCAAAGTAGGACAGAGAGGAGGCAGGGGAAGGTCACACCAGGGGAAGGAGCCTGCCAGAGCACCCACCTGACCCTGGCCATGAACCCACGGCCACCTGTCTCAGCTCCTGTCAGCTTGTCTTTCTCCTGGGATGCATGAGCCTCCCTGGTGACAGAACTGTCAGGCTGAGAGCCAGAGGGCACTGTTCCCAGGACCCTGCCTGTGTTCCCCGATCCCATCTTTGCACTCATTCTTTAATCTATTTGTCATGTTCCTGTCATCTCATCCTTGCATCGGCTCTCTGCCATTTCCAACTTGCCTGCCTCCTTCCAGTGGTCTGAGGAATTGTCAGGCCAAGGTCATGGAGTGGCACCGGGGTTGGCTCCGGGCCCAGACACACTTACTCAAGGCAGCACTTCTTTGCAGCCCTGTGCAGGAGATGGCAGATCCTCCCAGGATCCATTCCAGTGATGGGTGAACAGGAAAGAGGAAGGGGCTGCTAGCAATGGGGATGTGGCTTCCTGGGCTTAAGGGTTGCTTGAGCCCTGGCAGCTGGGGTGCCATGTGGGATGGGAGGGAGGGGCTCTCTGCCCCCGGGAGCAGCCTGGCTTTGGTGGGAGCAGATTGTGTTTACACCTTCCCCACACACCCAACCCACACTTAGCTCTTATTCCCAGGGCCTCTCCCACCCCTGGGCTCTCTGCGCAATCTGCACATTTGCAGCTCTTGCTGCAGAAAGTTGCCTCCTTCAGCCTGGAACTTCACAGGAGGCTCCCAGGACCCAGGTGCCCTTCCTCAGCCGGCTAGTTCCCATCACAGGAGTGGATGTGAAGCCTGGGACAGGGGTGGACCTTGTAAGGGGGCACAGTCCCCACAGGGGCCGAGTCCTTTCCCTTCCTATTTACTTAGAAAGAGACACTGCTTGGAAATGGAGCAGGGATGTTTGGGGACCTGGTAGAGAGGGAACAAAGAGTCCAAGTCAGAGCACCTAATTTAACCTTGATTCCACCACACTGCCTCTGTGACCTTGGGTAGATTATAGCATGTCTCTGTGCCTCAGTTTCCTCCTCTGTAAGATGGAGCCAGTAGTTGTTTCCTCAGAGTTGTTGTGAGGGTTAGATAATGTATGTAAAGTGCTTAGCACACCTAGTGAGCTAATACAGCTTTGTGGGAGCTGAGAATTACTGCACGATGTCAGGATCAGAACAATTCAGATTCCTTCCCTCCCCATCCCATGGCCCGTCCTGCCCTGTCTCTTCACGTACACCATAGCTGGGCAATGGCAAAATGTGAAACAAATTAGAGGAGGGGAAAGGATGGGACTGCTGGGTTGGGGAAGAGCACCAACCAGAGAGCAACCTGTACGAGAGAGGCCATCAGAGCCTCCCAGTGTGCTCACAAGTCTATCTGAACCTCCGTGAGGGTCTTGGCCTGGACACCTCCCCGCAACTGGCCCTGCTTCCCCAATGAATTTCAGCTTTGAAGACAGGCGCTGGTTACCCTGATGCTTTTCCTTTCTCATCTGAATGCTGATCTCTCGGCAGGTGAGAGCCTGAGTGACAGGGAAAAGGCTGCTCTGAGCTGCAGGGTAGCAAAGGGCAGCAGCTAGAACAGGGAGGTGCTACTGTCTGTTACTTCTGTGACTGACACTCAGGATTGCTGCCAGTCTCTCCTGGAGACTGGAACATGACCAGAGAAATAATGAGGTGGCAGGAAGGAGCAAGGAAGTAGCCACAGTAGCTGCTGCTGCCCTGCATCACCCTGGGGTGCAGATGTGGCTTTGGGAAGAGTATCCACCTATCCCAAATATGGTGTGTGTCTATGTGTGTACAGAACAGTCCTGAGAAGGGCATACATCTAAGACTAGATAGGTAAGGCTGGTGCCCAATTTGAGGCAGGCAACGGCAGTGTGTCCCCCTGGTTTCACAGGTGTCCAGTGCCCCTTTTCAGGGCCCTCACTGATAGGAAGAAGCCAAAACTCTTGAGCTGGGGGAAAGTAATGCTTCCTTATGAACCACAGAACAAGGAGAATGGCAAAGTGGCTATTCTGAGGTTTGCATTCACACAATGATAATATCATTAATAAGACTATTAATAATGACTAACGTATCAAATACTTGTTATATGCTATGCTAGTGCCTTATTTATAAGCACTGTCTTATTTATGAGGCAGGAACTGTTGTTATCCTCACTTCCCCAATAAGGAAAGTGAAGTTCACAGAACTTGCTCAAGGTCACTCACAGCTCGCAGCAAAGCCAGGACCTGCATCTGGGAAATCTGATGCCAAAGCTTAGGGCAGTGAGGACCTGAGTGTAGAATCAGAGCCTGTGAGGAAATCTGGTGTGTGACTTTGTACAAGGGCACAAGGACTAGAGAGGTGGACCTGGCCATGTCTTAGCAGGCAGGCTAGCACTGCCAGGGTTATTCCCACTGTTCCATTTCATGGATTAACTAACAGTCAAGGGCAGACCAGACTCTGCCCTGAAAGCCCAGTTCTAGCCTGACAGTTGAGGGGAGCGAGGAAAGTTAGGATCCATCAGTGCCCCTCAGGGAAGCAGTGATGGCCAGTGGCAGTGATGACAGACAGCAAGGCCATCACTCACAGTCACTGCCACTGCCACTCTGTTGCCTCCTTCAAACAGGGGCAGGACTCTGGGGAGAGGAGAGGATGGCAGCCAGCAGCCCAGCTGGAGAGGAAGAAACTTGAGACGGAAAGCTGTTTTCATTTGTTTGTGTTTGCGGGGAGGTGGGGAGGCAGGGGGCAGGGCATGGAGCCCAAGGATGTGGCTTCAATGAGTGATCCACAAACTAGAAATGAGTCTTTGTGCTTAAGGACCACAAACCCTCTCTGTGGGGTACATGTGCCCCCTAGTGGGGATTAAGACTAGAGGGTGGCTAAACAATATAAAAAGATTTACTGACAGATTTGGAGTGCATGAGCCTGGGTGGGAGAGGCCAGTCCAGTCCTGCCTCTGTGTGAACGAACACACACACACACACACACACACACACACACACACACTCATATGCAGGGGTAGAAACCACGTGAACGAATCATTAAAAGAAATTAATGAGTCAGTCGTGGTGATCCATGCTTGTAATCTCAGCACTGAGGAGTCTGAGGCAGACCTCCCTGGACTACATAGAGACCCTGTCTCAAAAACCAAACCAACCAACCAAACAACAAAAGAAATGAGTATATTTGTTTTATTGTTGATGTACACGAATGTACGAACACTGTGTCAGGTGCTGGGGGTGACAGATTAATGAAAGGGGCAGTCTCTCCCTTCTGCCTAGTACCATAGAAAGATCCTGGTGTAGGAAGCTTAATTCTGCCCGTTCAGCCCTTCCTGCTCATGTGGTCTTTTGTTCTTTGGACCTCAGCTTCCCCATCCAAACATGTTGAACCTACACGAGCTAGTGCTAGAGATGTGAAGGACTAATGACCTCCTCAGGAAACGAATGGGCTAGTAAAATGAAGTGGATGGACCAGATGATCTCCAGGGGCCCCACAGATTTCCCCCATCAAGACAGACTAAAATGGACTGTCCGGAGGTGCTGACAAAGACTTGCCCACGTGACAAACATTTATGGAGTATCTGTGTGCCAGGATACAAAAATGGATTAAGATCTTCTGCCACAAATAACCAGAAAACTGAAAAATATAAGAAACAGACACTTGACAACAGGCA